ATGATCAACAATTGTATCGTTTGACCTATGTTGCATATGTATGAAATTTTTTTTGTATGATAAACTGTTTGGATGCAAATTGTTTTGTGGCATTTTAGGTAGGCATCAAATATGGCTTGATATGTGACATTAAGTGCAAATCTACATTTGTGCATCCGAACTGAGCTACACACCAAATCTGAACAGTTCAACTCTTTTTCAACAAGAATGAATGAAAGATTTGCAGCTTTCACAACTGCCCATGGATACCAAGAAACAGTCGTCTCTCGCAGCATCAATCGCCTGAATCAAGCAGTGGATTACCTCACTGATATGGCTGATCCATATCGTTATCCGTCTTCCTTTGATATGGGCAAGGGACAAGGATATTAGTCATTTGTTTTTGCATTTGCTCATTCTCCATGTTGTTTTTGTTATCATGTTCTGTTTTATCTCTCCTAAGTGCACACTAATGTTTGTTTTACAGTCTTGATTTCTATAAAATGTTATGACTTATGTGTCCTTAATCTGGTTTAATCTATTTTCAATATTTTGCTCATTGTCAATATTTTGTGTGGATATTGGTATATGATTACTTATAACCTGTTGAGTATTTTGTTAATTGTTAATATGCCAAAACTTTACCTTTCTCCATCTCTTTTTGATGTTGTCAAAGGGGGAGAAAAGACAAGTAGATTGTAGACCACAACAGCTATGACTGTAAAAGAAAGGGGGAGCTTACTACTATGTTAAAGATATCGCATGTTGTGTTCACCAAGCTTCGCACAGGTTTGTCATCATCAAAAAGGGGGAGAATGTGAGGGAAAACTGTCTCACAACATACGTTCTCAAGTTTCGATGATGACAAAGTACAACCTCGGATGAATCGGAGTCGTCATGCATACTTACGATGATGACAAAGTACAACCTCAGATGAATCAGAATCGTCATGCAATACTTAACATATTACATCCTTCCTATATCCTTTCAAATCATCATATTTAATTGGCAATATATGTGACTAATGTTTGGTCGTGACAAGATGCACGAAACAACAAACATATTTATGTTTTTGCAGATTTTTGAACCATGAGCCGACCATACCGTCAGCACACAGTTTCATTCAGTTCACACGGGTCAGCGCATGGAACCATGCGTCGACCGTTAACTTGGCGCATGCAGGTTTAAGAATCTGACGGCTCAGCGCATGAAGATCATGCGTCGACCGCTGACTCGGCGCATGACAGTTTGAGTGTCACACGGCTCAGCGCACGCCGACCCTATGGTCGACCGTTCGCGCGCAGAAACAGAAATTCTGCTATGTTTCATTGATCTGTCAACTGTCTGTTTTGTATTACTATAAATTGCTGTCTTTTCAATTTTAACAAAGAACATTTTTGAAAGCATTGTGAGAAAGTGTTCAGGTCAAGAAACGTGAAAGAGGTGCATCAGTGTTCTTCATCTTCATCGTTCAATCAACTCACAAATCCTCAAATTACAAGATAATCAATTTTTTTGCTGCGGTTTGTGGTTTGCTCGACGGTGATAAGGTTCGAACGCGTGATTGAAGATCCGGTTCGAGTGGAAGCTGGTGCAGGTGTTTCTTGGGAGAAAACCTTTGAGGTTTTACCTATCAAGACTACAGGTTTTGAAGGCTTTTGTTACGGAATCGTCGGTTCAACAATCAAGCGAGTGCGAAGGTGATTGATTAGCGGAAGGTTGATCAATCTAGTAGCTAGGGCGTTGAAAGGTTGAAGACGTTCCGGGTTCAATTTGGGTGTGTCTAAGATCAGCCGTGCCGAAGGTTTGATCAACGGAAGAGTTGTCAATAAGGTGGCTGCAATCGGAGGTCATTCACATCAAATTGGAGGACTTGATTCATCTTGAATCAAGGGGCAAGAAGTGGTAGAAATTATCAGCAACATTAAGATTGTTTGTATCAATTGTCTATCGATTCTTGTGTATAACTGTTCTACCAAACAGGTGATATCTATTCAATACATATCTCAATTCTCATTGTAGAATTGAGGGCAGACGTACCCCAACGCGAGGACGACTGGGGGAACTGCCTCATCAAATCTTGTGTTCCTTTATTTTCTGCATTTTCAATTACAGCTTAAAAATTAAGTGATTCTAGAATAAGTGATTTTGTCAAATTGTAGTATTGATTGAGTGAGTTGGTGAAACACTGTTTTTTAACTACTAAGTACAATAGAAATACTGTACTAAGGCTTTTTCAATCACTCATTCAACACAAATATCATTTAAGGTATTTGTGCACACCAACTGTTCGACAAAAGTGCTGAACTAAAATTGCCTTAATTTTGCTGCTAGTTTTGGTGTAATTTTTGATCATTGGAATAAGGAAATAGTACGAGTGAATCACATCTGAGTTTTGCATAAAAGTGTGTAGTGATTTACTATCCGTTATCGTCTTAAATTCATCTGCTTGACGCATATCCGGCTCTCCAATAGTTGTTCGTTTTAGACTATATTTTCCAAGGCCGCTTCCGCATTTGAAAACAATTTTGAAAACCAATTTTATTGGTAGCGCCACTCAAATTTTTAAAAGGGATCTATTCAACCCCCCCTTCTAGATCCGTGCCTTAGTCTAACACGCCCTTTACCCTAGCTTTTAGGTCAAAGAGCCGTCGTGCTCTGTTTAGGGTTTCCCGCCGTGGAATCCCTAATTTAACCCTAATTTAATAACAAATTCAACGTAGAAATAGGAGTTTCAAGACTCCACGTAAGCGTGTCCTTAAGATACGATTATTCCTTTTGAAACCTTGACCATAGTCAAGAAGTTTCTGACCTCCCTTACGAGGGGAACTACGATTACTCTGATTCCATTCCCTATCCAGGATACGTAGGCACAAGATGCGATGTCTTGCCGAGTAAACTTAGGACTAACCCTTAGGTCTTTTAGGTCACTCTATCCCTTAGCTCAGTATATACATTTCAAACAGATAATAAAATAAAAAAAGCATACAATAAACAAAAGGTTCCTGTAGAGTACTACAGAAGTTTAGGGTGCTAGTACCTTCCCTAAGCTTAATCAACCCCTTACCTAGGTCTCTCCCTGCATTGTGTTTACGATGCAAAAATAGGTTTTCCCTCTTTTGACCTTTTCCTTCGGATAAATCAAAGAGCGGTTGTGAATCAAGAATTGTGATTCAAACTAATTAATAGTTTGATATTCTATTTCCACCGCAACACTTAGGAAGGACTCTGTGCATTCCATGAGAAAGTTGAACCATTGAGGACTATTCTTGAATGATGAGTTTGGTTGAGAACATGGTGAATTCCTTAGGTTTTCACTATGCCTCCCATCATTATTCTCTTCATTTCTCAAGTCCTATAATCTTAGGATCCTTTTTGTGAGAGTCTAGTTCTTCCTTAGGAAGAACTATGTGCATTCCATGAGAAGTTTGAGCCTGACATGGTGGATTCCTTTGGTTTCTCTCATTCCCTTGCATGATTGTGTGGTGTTGTGCATTAGAAGTAGGGTAGGCTTGATAGCTTTCTCTTTCACTTCCATGTTTGCATTTAAAGGTTGAACTTGCCTCCCTTTGCTTGGATGTTAAGGTTGAGGTGTCCTCCCTTTACTTGTACTGTTGCATTGCATGTGCGTTCATACACATTTTGCATTTCAGTTGAATAATTCTGATGATTTCCTGTTGTTTCTCCTTCCATTGCCATGTTCCCTTAGGGTTGATTTCCTGTTGTTTCTCCTTCCATTGCCATGTTCCCTTAGGGCTCTCACTTCCTTGTTTAAGGAGTGATGATAGAACTTTAGGTTGAATCCTTTGCATTATAACATATAGGATAGATCCTCTTTCAAACTCAACATTAGGACCATCTTGCATGATAACATATAGGATAGATCCCCTTTCAAACTCAACATTAGTCCCCCTGTAACCAACACCAAGAGTTTGATGAATGCAATTTTTCATGTAAATGTCTTTTAAAATAAACTTTGGACCATTATCGGTTTGTATGGTTTTTATAGTTTTTAAAAATTGAGTTTTAATGAAGGACACAAAAGATCTTACAAGGTAAGCAGTTCAAGATTTGACATGCATGAGATAAATCCATCAAAAACAACTATGATCATCAACAACAGTTAAAAAATATCGATAACCCATTATTGAAGTTGTGAAGACTCCAAATGTCATGTGGATCAAACCAAAACAATGATTAGAGTGAGACTGACTAATTTGAAAAGATAACCGTTTGCGTTTAATAGATAAACAGGAATCACAGTGGGGTAATGTACTTGGAAGAATTATGTAAGGGAAAAAATTTATTTATTTCAGTAAGAGTAGAACGGAAAGGGTGCTTAAACGATAATGCCGCATATTACATCTATTAACAGTTTTGATCCTATTAAATTCAATTGCCTAAAATCTTCTGTTTTCTTCAACCAATAGTCAAAATTAGTCTTGAATAAATAATATACACTGGCACTAGAATAAAGAAATAGAATATGAAAATCACATCAAATTTACTCTGCAGGACAGTGACACACTGAACACTAGAGCATACTAGAGCATATAATCGCAAAGCAAATACACCTTCATTATTGACAAATGATAATATTTCACTATAACTTTTTTTTGTAAGATCTAATAACTCGGATTATATTTGAATGAAAATAAATCAAATGACATCTTAATCAAACACATTCCAGCTTTCTCTCCCTTGCAGATCGTTTAATCAAATCCAGCAAAAATATCCTGATCGATGAAGCTGATGAGCTGAACGGCGTGCTCATGATTCAGAAAGTGGAGGTGGTATATGGGTGGTTAATACAAGGGTTGTAAACTTATAATTCCAATATAGCCCACCAATCAATGAAAATGCATACCCCGTTTGCAGTTTCATAGGCAAGAAAAATCCGAACACAATTTGAATACAATATACAGCCATGAACCATTGTGAAAACCCAGGAAACAAATGTTTCCAACAATTTTTCTAGTCCAGTGATATCAGTTAACATCTTCTGTAGTAGTATCATCTCATCAATCTCTGGCATTAGATACATCATCTGTTCTCCCCTTCTTTGCGGAGTTTTTTTGTTGCAACTCATCTTTCAGTCTTTGGATCTCCTGATCCTTCTCATCTAATTTATTTTTCAACATGAAAACCTGCAGGGTTCGGAAAACCCAATGGAGTAAGGTACGTGCATGCAACCTTGCACAAATAAACAAGAACCCGATAGTTCCAAAACAGTCTTTTTGAAATAATTAATTGATGACCATAAATTTTAAAAGAATGAATATCAGAGTAAATAACCGGAGTCGTTGAAAAATAAACCATTCATAGTAAACCTCACTCAGAATACCAGTTATTTAATAAAAGTAATTTTATAGGAAAGAAGAAGTTTACCAATACTATGTTTACCAATGACCTACAAGTGAAGCTCACACCACCAGTTATCGAACCCGACTAAGTTTGAACCATAGCAGTTCAAACAAGTTGAGCCTATTCTTTAACTGCTACTAGTACTCCTTATGTTCCTTTCTAATTGTCGTTTTTTAATGAAAAACTTTGTTCATATTTCTATGTTGTTTTCAAACTTCAAGGTTACTTCAACTTTGTTTTATCAATGTTGCACCCTAACTTGCTAAAAACATTCAAATTGTACAAACCACATTTATACAATACAAATATGCCTAACACCATCAATGCCAAATGACACTTAGGGGGAGCAGTGGTTCAAAGAGTGTCAGTCAATAGACTATTGTAATACTAACCAAAAGACATTACCTTAGGAAACTTTTTCTTAATTTTAGTAGGGTACAATTTGACAGATTTAGCACTGCAAACGTTTTCTTTGAAAAACCTCAAATGGAAGATCATAAATTCCATAAAAAAGGGGAACATGGTATGAACTATTTATATAAATCTTCAGTTCTTCTTCCCCATATATTAAGCACATAAAACTACCATCCTTTAGAGTTCAAGGATTCAAGAAAAATATATATATTTTTAAGAAATTGGTAGTTTTACAGGTTTTCGACAATTTAGAAAAATCTATTTAAAACTCACATCTGCAATTAAAATTTATATATTATCACTATAATGTTTTTATAATCAAATTTACCATTTTAAAAGATTAGGACTCTAAATACAAACATTTTCACTCATTTGAAGATATTAGTAGATACATATATTAAAGAATTTTCACTAATCCTACGAAAGTTTTTTTCTAACTAGTAAATGTTAGTTGTTGGTTGTTATTTTGTTAGTGGGGGGAGTTGACCACGTGACCTACTTATCACTAGAGGTGGCAATTGGATCCATTAAGGCAAAATTCATCCAATCCATCCACTACATAAAAAATAAGTTATGGATTGGATTAAATACATTCATTTATATACATGAATGGATTCGAACCATCCAACATATTTTAAGGATCCAATGGTTTATCTTTATTTTCGTTAAATTTATTTTTTTTAAATAATTAAAAATAGATTTTTTAAAAGAAAAGAATTGAGTTTTTTTTCAATAAAAATTCGAAATTTTTCCAAAAAAAAAAAATCAAATTTTTTTCCGAAAAAAATACGATTTTTTTTTTGGAAAAAATAATTGGTTTTTTTTCCGAAAAAAATATCAGTTTTTTTTTCAAAATAAAAAACTGATTTGTTTTTCGAAAAAAAAATCGACTTTTTTCGAAAAAAAACGATTTTTTTCTGAAACAAAAAACCAATTTTTTTTTATAAAAAAAACAATTTTTTCCCGAAAAAAAATCGACATTTTTCAAAAATTAAAATATCAATTTTTTTTCTTGAAAATACAAAAAAAAAAAAAATTTCATGAATATATTAAAAAATTATTTTTTTTAAATACAAAAAATGAATTTTTCAAAAATAAAATAAAATTGATTTTTAAAAATAAAGTTGGATATATCCATCCATTAAAAAATATGTTAATTGATGGATTGGATAATTTTTAAAAAAATTTAGTGGATTGCTAATGGACTAATGGATTGTTTTAATCCATCTAATCCATCCATTTTGCCACCCCTCCTTATCACTATGCTCCTCCCCTTAATCACCTTATCACTTTCATATCTACACAAGCATTTACCTATCCCATATTAATATTTGTCAACAGCATAAGCCTTTTACCAAGACAAGTTTTGTTGAGGTTCGTTAACAAGTTTCCTACAAGGTACAAAAATACTTATATCTATTTCTCATTAACATTGTTTAGTGAGAAAAAAGTAAAACATAACGGTGATGCAGACATGCAGTGAAATTTTCCACAATAAAATATGAAAGTAGGGATAAGTGCAAACCATTTCATTGGATCTTTCCACATCATTGGTCAATCCATCCATATGCTTCTGCAACCCTGCAGAAAGTTTTATGCAGCAAATTTTAAGTATTTAAAATTACACAAATTGCTAATACATGGAGAATTAAAAATAAAACCAAAAATAAAAATAAAACGTCGCACACGACATTATTATAAAGAATGTTAGCAATACACTATTATCACTGGGACACAACCCCTGTTAGAGGGACCAGCAAAGAATTTTGCTCAATGTGTGGCACGCGTTTTTTGCAATATTTTTGACAATGTATGTTAGTACATTTCAAATGAATAATATGTAATTACAATTTCACCTCTTTGATAAATCCAATATGGCAATGTAGGAAAGAAATAGTCAATAAGTAGCCCATGAAAGGGTCAAAGGATAAAAAATGTCAAACCATAATGAGATGAAATCACTCATCAACTAACCTTCGAATTGATTTCTGAGCTCGGAATTCTGGTCTTTCTGCAATGAAAGTTTCATTGCTAATTCATGCATCTGCAGGCCAAGAAAAGAAAAACAGAAAAAGGTGATATCAGCGTCAATTCAGTAACAAATAATACTGACAAATAATACTGACAAATAAATTAGATAGAATAATCTGTGTAGATCTATTAATAGTTGATATGTGTAATGTTACTTCCATTCAATAAATGTGATAAACTTCTTTATACATCATTTCAACATATGAACCAACTTCCAAATGAATGAGTTGAAAAAAACGACAGTTAAGCTGAGATGCGGGTGAAGCAAATAAGATGGCAGTACCTTGCCCTCAGAAGCTTGATGCCCAATCTCTTCATTTTCCTCCTGCAGAGTTCTACATTTAGCCATTAGCAACTTCCCCATCTTGCTTTGTGAAGTAAAGTTTACCGCAGCAATGTTATCTTGCAACTCTTTTACCCTTTTGTCCTTTTCCGCAACTAAATTCTAAAAGAGTTGGAATAAACACTGATGTGAATAATGTGTCAATAAACTAATAAAACAAATTCCTAATATAGGTAGGAAATTGGGGCACATGAAATAAAATTGCAATAAAAATACCTGTTAAGGAATAAAGTATCATAAGAAAAAGTAACGAAGACAACAAATCCGGAGTAAACACATTTCAGAATCATTACCAAGTTTCCTTCAAATTCATCGCTAAAATTAGAGCTAAAAATAGTAGTCAGCTGAAAACCCGAGCTACATTTGACACCACGTTTTCTCTAAAAGTTATCATCTTCATCTGTATTGTTTGCATTTAAACCAGATAATCAAACTAGAGAGAATGCCTACCCTCTTGGACTTCTCTCCTTTATTTCTCACAAAAATTGATTTCATTTTCCTATTGTAGTAGACAAAGTAGTCAAGTGAACAAGTGATGGAACTACGATGACACTTCGGTATAACATTAAAGGATAGCAGTATGTTTCCTCACTATATCTCTGGGTTGATAAAACTAAGTTGACAACTTGGACTAACATTTTCCTAGTACAACCTGGGTTAATGCAATAAGGCATTTACCCAGTTTTCATCCAGTGTTGTCCATGGCGGAGAGCAAAAATCCCGCCATACCAGACGATTTGTGCCACTGTTATAGCAGATAATGGCAGAAAAACTCGCAATATCGGCCAATATCGACCGTTGCGGAGAGCCCAAAAACCGCCACGTATATCCACCATAGCACTGGTAATTGCGGATATTTGATAACACTGGGTTCATTTATCAAGGAAACCAAACTTGATTTTAAAGTCAGAACAAAAGATGAGTGAGAGTAACTGACCTTTAACCGCGAGAACTCTTCATGAACTGCTGGGTCTAGTAAGAACCTCCTTGCCTACAATTTAAATAGCAACCAAAAATAGATAATATTTTGGTGAGAACCCAAAAGGGAATAAAACCAAATGCTAAAACATACACCAAAATTGATTTGGAGGTTTCAAAGTTCAACTAATACACATGTAAGCAAGGAAGCCGCAGTCATGCAACAACAACAACCACTACCAATGCCTTTTCCCTCTAGGTGGAATTGGCCAGAGTCACAAAAACAGCGGAGACAATTAAGTCATAAAAGTATAATACGTCTGGTAGTTCACCTTTATCAAGTCCAGTGTTAGTACATCATTCCTCCTTTGTTACAGTATTTGGATTCGGCCAATAAAGAAATAATATGCCAGAAGGATCTATCCTTAAGTCCAGTGTTAGGCATTTTTTATTTACTACAGAACATGATAAATCTCAACTAGCATGGATTTCATGAGGAATGGTGTCTCCATTTCCATGAGGAACAACTTTCCTGATTAATCTCAATTTTAAATAAATAAATAAATAAATTGGATTATAAAAGAAATTACATAAATAAATGAAGAAGCAGTTTAATATCCATGCCTTAAAATTGATATCTCTATCTTGCATGAAAACACCCAACAAAATTGTGCAATTACTCCTCCTATTAAATGACAAACAACATAGATGCTGAACAAACAAATACAAATAATGACCAAGTCATAAACAATATCTAAGTGACTCAACAAAGTTGGAAAACTATTTGACTTTCTAAAATTAATATGCATGAATAAGAATGAAGAATCGTCAATAAACAAATGTATCAAGAGACATATTCAAACACTTATATGATAAATACCTGCATTGATGCTGGTTTGAGTTGAGCTTTGAGGTCCCGTACAGCAGACTGGAAAAGTTTGGAATGACAGGTAAATATAATAATAAAATTCGAATAATAAATTATTTTACCATGCTTTGAAATAAACCACAAACATGTGTAAAATAATTATAATAATAAACAAAATAAAATTCAAATAATAATAACAATAATAATAATAATAATAATAATAATAATAATAATAATAATAATAATAATAATAATAATAATAATATATTTTTAAAATACAAACAACTGACAATTTGTAAAATGAAAGTAGCTTGCTTTAAACATTTTGATCAAGATAAGACTCGAGAATCATATGGAAAAGTTAAAATGTTAGGCCAGAATGAATAAGTCTCAAAGTTTCCTGTACTCTTGAACTTCATACGTTACAATTACTTCTTATTCTGTTAACTATATATTCTCCCCAGGGGAAAAGGGGTTTCCTTTAGCATTCTAAGTAGATGTAAAATAAACGAAACAACACATCCAGATGCTATAAAGAACGCTATAAAGAACGAGAACCTAATTTTAGAATACTAGGTACCTTCAGCTCTGCTATCTCTTGCTCACGTTTAGCATATGTCACAATGAATGCAGCCTCCTTTTTCTTTGCCTTTTCAAGCTGATAACCAATGAAAATGTTGAAAGGGTTAATAAGTATGATCAACATATAAGGAATAATTTTGAAGCAAAAAATAGAATTTTAAATTCTGAAGGCTGCTGAACCTGATCGCCTAAGGACTCTTCCGATGCTTTCAGTGCTTGGAGATAATTAATCACCAATTTGGGTACTAGAAACCATCAATTGAAAATAATTGCTCAGGTAGTATATTTTAACCGTTAAAACACAAAACAACATTAAATAGAACTAGATCTTCAATGATAAGTACATTTATGATATACTCCTAGCAAATGATGTGTACAAACTAACCCGGTGTGGTCCCAGCAGGTATGAATAGTTCATTTTGAAATGAAGAGCGCCATTTTTTAATCTCGGATTGTGCAGCCTCGAGTTCATTCTAGAATATGCAATGATGAGGTAAACAATTTTAGGAAAGGAAAAGCTATGACTCGACCTAGGCTAGGATTATGACTTTCTGCAGTCAAAAAACAACCGCGAGCAATCACAGACATTCAAAAGACTTATTATATTGGAAAATTAGATTAGATGCAAGTAAACAAAAACAACAACAACAACAACTAAGCCTTATCCCACTAGATGGGGTCGGCTACATGAATCAACTTCAACTTTCGCCATAATGTTCTATCAAGGACCGTGCTTCTATCCAAATCATTAATCTCGAGATCTTTCTTAATAACTTCTCTTATAGTTTTCTAGGTCTTCCTCTTCCTCAAATTATTTTCCTTCTTTCCATCTGGTCTACTCTGCTCACTACATAATTTACAGGTCTTCTCTCTACATACCCAAACCACCTGAGTCTATTTTTCAGTTAATTTTCCAGTTAATAGAAGATTTGCCTCCACCTAAACTAATATACATGTAATCTTTTTAGAGACTCAATTAACTACATTCAATTTCCCTCAATAACAGAATTTCAAATTCTTTGAACGAACAACAGCCATTGCTAAAGAAAAAACATACCATGCACGAGTCAAGCGTGTCCTTACAATTCTGAAGACTGCAACAACAAAAAAAACATGAAAAAATTTAGGCTGAAACAGTTCATTACATGCAATTTTTAGAACCAAAATATTCCTATTTCATGTCATCTATACTCATATACTCAGATAAACATACCTCTCACGAAGAGACAAAATCATTCCAGTTGTGACACCAGAAGCAGCTTCTTCTTCGGCTTTCGATTTCAACTGAAAGACGAAGGAACACAACAAATTGCAATTTAGGTTTTTCAAAAAAGGAAAACTCTGAAAATTGGATGAAGAAAATTTTACCTTCTTTCCCAAAGGATCATTATCAAAATCTCCATCCTCATAATCAGGAGATGGCCTCTTATTACCTATATTACCTATAGTATCTGATTCATGAGAGTGAGTGAAACAGTAAAAAAATTGAATAAATAGCATTAACATGAGTATTTTTTTAACAATGGGAGAAAAACCTGGACGTGTGCCGCTAAATTCGCCTCCAAAATCAAATTCCTGCTGTTGAAAAGGAGAAAAAAACAACAGAAAGATCATAAGTAAAACTAAACTACGAACGAGAAAGAAAAAGGATAGGAGAGTTGGGAATTACGTCGTCGAAATGTGCAGGGGATGTCATTGTGAAATTCAAAACCCTAGAAATTGGACAAAAAGTGTGAGAAAGAGTGATGAATCAAACAAGTAGCTACTGCTGCTACTTTGGAAGAGAATGAATGCTTTGTTTTGAATAATGCTCAGTTGAAAAGCGGAATGAAAGAGGTGTTTGGATTTTCTTTTTCCCTTTTTTTCTTATTACAGTTCGCATGGGTCTTACTTTAAGATGCACCGAATGGGAAAAAATTTGAAAATAATCTTGTTTTCTAAAAAAAAAAAAAAAAAAAAAATCAACATAACCATATTTTGAGATTAAATAGTAAAGGAATTATGTTTCAAATAAATAAAAAAATGGCTCACAAGAGAAGTAGTCGAAAAATATGACACATGAACTCGCACCATAAGATATGGTGCATACTTATATGCCATGCCACTGCATGTGGCGCATGCATGCATCCTCTAGGAGTATGCGTCACAGGTAATGGCTATTGTTGTTTAGATTTTTTAATTATTTTAATAATAAAATAATATTAAATAAAATGTTGATAAAAAATTATAATACTATTCAATCAAACAAAATTACACAGCGATTTAATAGAAATTTAATGATCTGCTCGATCGTAACGCTCATTAGTTTCACACCCTAGTGTATTCGCTTGCCTTCAATCATATCCCCATAGTAATCAGTGTTGTCGTAATCGAGTTTGGTGTCTATGTTGTCGTAGTCTGGTCGTGTTGGTTGTGTTACGTATGGGCGGACTGGTTTGTTGAATTGGGACATTGAATCGTTTTAGAAACGAAGCAATGATTCTTGTGGTGTTTGAAAGACATGTGTTTGTTGGGTGATTTGGTGATATGTTGTTTGGGTGCGCATTGGTTGGTTGCTATGGTGGGATGGGGATGGAATCATATCCATCATCGAGACTATAGTAAGATGTGGTGGTGGTAAGGATCATGCTTTTGGTTTTGTGTTTGGGTGTGTGACATAAATTAGTTGTGGGGTTGGGTGTATGGGTTTGTAATCATGTTTGATTGGTGGTTGGGTGTTTTTGGTATGGTGATGTTGTGATTGGGTGGGCTGACATTGTTGTTGAGTTTGGTAATGGTGTGTGGTTGGTTGTTGGGCGGGGGTTTGTTGTTGGGCATATGATGACGAAGCTCGTTGGCATGGGTTGATCAAATACCTCGAGTCAGACACACATTGTGTCGTCGTAATCGATTTATACTAATTCATATAATTTTGAGTTGGTCTACCATTCTACATGATAGGTTCGTTTATGAACTGTTGATGTCGATGCTTCCATTGACGATACATCTCCCTAACGAACTTTCTCCAATCGGAATAACTTCATTGGGCATCGACTCTTAGTTAATGTCATTGTCCTAAACATGTTAGGGGATCTAGATTTGTTGTTGCATGACGGACTGCAGTTTGACACTATCACTTTGGTGCATCTCCACAATAGTGAACCTAATGATTAGTGTTTTTGCAATCCAAACTGCAGCATCCTCGGGGTTAACCTCATGGTCGAGACCAAAATACGACCTCCAGATAAACTGTATAGAAAAAATACATGATTTAAAATTTTGTAAATTGGTAATATTAAAACTAAATTAACGAGATGATGAGTTGTTTAGTTGTAATACATCGTCTGGACCAAGGTGATCTATAAGATTCCAATAGACTGTGATAACGTGTTTGGAACATTTGGTGTAGTTCATCCCTAGAACATGTTGGAAATTTGGTGTGATAATCTTGGATATCTTCGAGGAATCGTGTTCGTACACTTTCCGAACAAAGTATTTCGACCTTATTATTTGCCTGGGTTCACGAAATCTTTGTGGGGATAATTCTTTGAAGAACAATTTGTTTCTGGCAATAGAAAACAGATCAAGAATGTAGAGAGAATATGAATTTTTTTCAGTGTGTAAAACTGAGGCCAAATGACTCCTTATATGGGAGATTAATTAACAAAAAACAAAAAGGGACATTTGTTCAAAATTTTTGAACGGGTTCAAAACTTAACAGAAAAATTTTGCCCCTTGGAACCCCAGCCAGGGGCTCTGCCCCTTGGAACCCCACTGGGCGCTGCCCCGCACCCCGCCAGGGGCTTCGCCCCTTGGAACCCTAGCGGAGCGCTGCCCTGCACCCCGCCAGGGGCTCCGCCCCTTGGAACCCCTTTTCAATTATTCGCATTCAATTGTACGTTGACTCGACGAGCGTGCACTTCGCACTACCCTAACTCGTTTCCAAGCTTAACGTATAATTGCATCGGCCTACAGTAAATTACATTACTATTAAAATACATTGATGATACTAAAATCACCAACAGAACAGACCACCTAAATCGAAAAGAGTGAAAACAAATTATTTATAGTTAGTTGTAATATAAAGTAAGCAAGTGTCAATAATGAGATAAACTTAGTTTGTGGAAAATTTCAAGCCTTCTATATGTTCAACAATAGTTGGAAGAGTCCTGCTGAGCCTTTGGATTGTGGAAAATTTCAAGCCTTCTATATGCCTTGCTCCCGTGTCATAACGACATATTCAAAGGCTTAGCAGGACTCTTCCAACTTACTATTCATTGTTTGCAAAGTCATAAACTTATGCAATATGTACAACAATAGTTTTCTAATTGTAGCAAAGGAGGATTGTTGGCATGCATATCAAGGGGAGATAATTTGGCACAATGAAAATATGCGAAGAAAGAAAAATGGTCGCTCTAACAGCACGCATATTCAAACTGAAATGGATATGGCGAACAAAATGGTGAAACTATGTAGTTCACGTTGTCAGCCCGGGCACAATCGTACAGACTGTCCCAATGTTGGAGCAAGCTCACAATATAATTCAATAATCCAATTTTAGTCCTGCATTTGATATGTAATTCATTTTATGTAACTATTTTATTTGATATTGAAAAACACGTTCATTTCATAAATATCACAACATTCAGTTACAACAATTTAACATCAACTAAATAACAATTTAAACAACAACTAAACAACGAGACAAACAAATACAACGACTAAACAACATATATATGCGATTACAACCATCAGAACAACTTTCTCACTGTTATGAATCATAACACGACAATTAGTGGCATTTTTAACTAAATCCTAGAAATGACTTTCCCCATTATCGTTGTACGCCGTAACAAGCCTTTAAATTCTTTTGATCTTTTCATCGTCTACAATGTCTCTATCTAACCAGCAGATCAAGCTCCTCTGAAGATGCTCGAAAGTCTCCGCGTTCTAGAGTCAGATCTTCATCGAAAGCTTTACTGTTGGATAAATCAAATTGACATTTCTCTTGATAATATAGCACAACATGTTAAAGAAAATTTGAAGAATATAATTAGAATATGGGTAGAAAATGATGGGGAGGGGATGCACTATATATATAAAAAAAAACCTTAAATACCATAGTAGCCATTGGCTATGGTGAATGCATGCTCCTAGAGGATGCATGCATACGCCATATGAAGTGGCATGACATATAAGCATGCATCATGCCTATGGCGCCTATGTTCAAAAAATGAGTGCATGCGTCATACCCTCTGACTACTCCTCTTGTGGGCGAATTTTTTTGTTTGAAACATGATTACTTTGATATTTTTTCTAAAAATATGATTATTTAAGAAATTTATTTTTAAAACATGGTTATTTTATTAAAAAAATCACTAATTGGAATGTTAAAAAAACATTCAAATGTTTTTTTAATGGCAATTTATTACTTATTAATTGTTTTTTTAAACTAACCAAAAACATATTAGTAACATTACAATTGGGGTTTTTCTAGCTAAATTGAGTTTTTTCCTCCTATTGCCTACGGGTCATCCTATGGGCTAAGAGGTTTTTATTTTTAGGAGTATATGAGAATTTATCCTGTGGGCTAAGAGGTTTTTATTTTTAGGAGTATATGAGAATTTATCCTGTCACCCCTCAGTTTGACTTGATACCTCCATGTTTTTTTCGTAATACTCAATTTTCCTTCAAAAAATTTGTCAAAAATATTCATACAAAAATTCTGGTAGAACAAGTAAAAATTCTATATAAAAAGTCTGATATGTATTTTTACCAGTTTTAAGAAAAAATGAATTTATACCAGATTTTTTTTATAAATCCAGTATCTTTGGTAATTTTTTGGATTTTTGAAAAAAACGATAGTTCATATTCAATTCCTTTTTATTCAATTATTTTATTTCAAATGACTTACTCCTCCCACTCAAGAGAGTTACCCCTATTTTAACCTTCAAATGTTAAAAGAGTATGAAGGGGATTGTCCTTCGCACACTCAGTGGTGAAGAGCCACCCTTTAGAAATGCAAAAAAGTTTTTGGCGTAGTTCGAAATTGAACTTTCTGACACTGCAAATGCACATCAAGACACTTTGTGAGTGAGTCACATCCATTTTACCATAAAATAGTCTGGAAGTCAATCTTTATATTGATGGTAGGGTGAGTCTGTAGATTAAGTTGTGGACTAATCCTTTGACACATTTTGAACTCATGATAGTGTGTATATTTTATAACTCAGTGGATAATCCAGAAGTTAAATTTTGGAATTACCAAGCGATAAAACGAATATAACATAACCTTGCATGTGCTCTTCATTTAATGATCATACCACCATACTTCCAAAACCCTACAAAAATCTCCTTCTCTTAATCAAATTTTGTACTTCAAAACCATATTCTTCTTTTTTTTCACACCAAAAGAAGTTAGAATTTAATGTAATATTAATGTACATGTATTTCCTTCATCATTGGTTGATATAATCTGATTGAGCTGTTGAAAAATGAATGTTGTGACCGTATTATAACTTCTAGATTATGCTGCATGTTGTTCTGGAAGTTTAATTCCAAACTTTTGTATTTCGAATTTAAAATTTTAATTTACTTCTATTATGATTGCTTGTAGCTTAGGTGCACTCTGACGCTGTCCAGAAAGCTATTGTGTCTATGGATGTTAAAATGGTTGATGTCGAGGTAAATATTAGTAAAAAGTTACAAATCAATAGG